AGGTTGCATTTAGAGTAGATTAACACACATGTACATCCTATTTCTGTAAGGGTTGCATTTATGATATATGCATGTAATTTTCACCATGCTAGTCAATGTTAATTATTATATGTAGCATGAACCAGATACATATATGTAGACAAGGGAACAATTCAGATATATGAACAAGCTGCAAAATATATACAGAAGTTCTGGATTCTGGAGTGGGGGTGGGGTGGGGTCAATTTTCATAGATAAACATCACTTAATTCCTCCTTCATATGTATGACTCTTTTGACCAAATAATGAGGTCTGGTTTCCTGAAGATGGAGGGGTGGTATGAATTTTATTGATTACTTTTTACTATTTTATTATATACATTTTATAAACTTGGGAATTGTTCCCAATAATTCATATATATTTTTTTTTCAATTCATAAGTTTTATTCTCACTTTTACATAATTATATTAACACTCAGACATATCAATTTATAAACTACCTACACATTTTCAGTCGTACTTCCTTTCATAAAGATTCCACAGAATCCATTGTTTTCTGTAGAATAACTTTTCATTGTGTCAAGTTATATTATTATTTCATCCAAAACTTTAAGGTAAATAAATTTGATGCTATTTTTCAACATTGAATTGGTACCATTCCCAATCCATTTTGCAATTGGTAGGGGAAAAAACTCATTTGATTTTATGTATGTTGCATTGATTGTATGGAAGATGCAGGAGAAAAAAAAAAGATTTGAACAAAGTTTTAGTTTTAATGTGAAATAATATAAACTCTGATTTATAAAAGAGGAAGGGGATGAGTTAGAATGACTTTTTTGTGCGGTTAGGGACTTTAGTTTTACCTGCAGTGTGACCTTATGACCTCTTTATACACTGTATATATTCATAAACAACATATCTCTAATTATTTTAAATATCATTTATCTGTTCTTAATTGCATTATGAGTAATCTAACAACTGCAGAATTAAACATTAGTGGTCATATAACAGGTTGCTCACAAGCTGTAGGTACGTTGCATCACTCATGCAGTCGGTTTGTATCACATCATGGGAAAGAGAAATGAATCTTTGAGTACCTTCCTAATCTTTAATTTTGCTTTAAAAAGGTAAACTTATCAAAAGTTTACCCAAAAATATACATAAAAAAACATATTTAACATACCACTATCTGTTTTTGTCCAACTACTCCAAGATGGAAGTTTTTCCTTTTTCTCCCGCAATTCCTCTATTGTTGTCTGTTTCATTCTTTCCGACCTCCTTTGCTAGAGAGCTCTTGCAAGGGAGGTAATCCAATCGTTTTTCAACAGTGTTTTACAACATTTCACTCAGATATTTTTCTTAAAGTCTTTAGTGTCTACCCAATTTTATTTATTTAATTTATTGAACAGAGTATTCTCCTTCTACAGATATATGTAGAATTTTCTAAAGTTGTCTGGATTTTGCAAACAACATAACTCTTCATGCAATATAATTCTAGAGGTCAAATCTAATAAAAATCAATTACAAAATAAATTTTCCTTATAAAACAGAAAAATGTGTTTCAAAGCAATTTATGACCCACATTATAAAATTATACATGGAGTTTGGATGTAAAATACGTCATGAATAATAACAGGATAAGGCAGTCCAAGTATTTCTGTAATAAAATATAGCAAATGTCCTTGTTGTCATGGAAACAAGAGGTCATATGCCTGGGTAGGTATATTTTTTTTAAAAGACTATTCATATGCATCATGTTCACAAAATTTGAGCTAGAGATAATTTTTTCCACTTTCCATGTTTATATAGCATGAAGCTCAATGCTTAGTGACATGCTCTCTTAATGATTTAAGTTCTGACAAGTCCTTGTCTTCATAAATCTTGTACAAATTATCATATGCTACTGCAAAGGAATCTCCCAAAATTTACGTTAAACTTTACAGCCGTTCTTGCTTAAGGAAGAATGCGTCAGCCATTTTTTGTCACAAGTCATCTACATACTGACGTCATTTCAATATTGTGACGTCATAAACATGGAGCAAACCATTAAGTTAGATCTGCTATTTATAGAACATGTTTATGACTATATGTCTGCCCAATTTTATTTTGATCTAACTAGTGGCTTTGTAAATATACTGATAGTTTGCGGACTTTTTGATCACCCTCGTATTGTTAGCTATATTAAAACTATTTTTAAAATGACGTATGATTTTTGTAGTGTTTTCTGCTTTAAAAAGGGAATAATGATTATAAATTCTCTCTCAAATCGGTGAAAAATTAAGTTTTAACCGAGACAGGAACTCACGGCCTCTGGCGCACCATGTTAACACTCTAATTAAGGAGCTACTAAGACCCGACATACTACGAGAGTTTTAAACATTTGGGTCACATCCGCCTCTGTATAGAACTTTAGAGTTTATGAAATGCAGTAATGCATTTTCCTAGAAAATAGTTGGTTTTGTACGTTGTGTGCAAAATTTCAATGGTGGTAAAATTACTAGTATTAAAAACTGACACTCGAACCCAGGACCTTTGGCGTTCTTTGCCACTTACCACCGAGATATTAAATTAAGTTATAGGTACTGAAATTCACAAACCTATTTATTCTTTGATAACTAATTCAGTTTGGCAAACATATAATGTCCTCCGTATAGTTGAATTAAGCAATAAGGCCAAAATAAAAAATAGCTTTTTTGTTTCCCCTAACGCGACCGACCCACCTAAATCTTGCCGACTGAAAAGTTTTTTTTTAATAAACTCATTTAAATATTTTTTTTATTGTATATCAACTTTATGAAATACAATTTTATCAAAATCCGTTTTTTATCAGAATTTTTATCAAAATGGCAGCTTTTGTTTTACTCTCATTTGGCGCCCACAACATGTGGCACAGAGGGTTAGTTCGTGTTATAAAATAATGGTGACGTATCAATTTTATTCCACTAGTATATCTTTAACTTATTAGAATCCTACACTCTTGAGACATCTCGTGAATTAAATGTACCATGACTAAGGAGTGTTAAGATGGTATTTACAAATGTGTCTCCTAAAATTAATGTACGTAGTTAGCATGGCAAAGCCTGCCTCATGAGCAGGTGAGGGGCCCACCTTGTGTATACATATCAATAAATTTCACTGGGTTTCATTCGTTTCGATCTAATATGTATGATCCATTTTTACTATAAAGGACCATTGGAGTTTCAAATATGTCTTTGTATAATTATTTCGTCTTGATAAATATAATTCAAATGTCGTTTCTTCATTCCTTTTATCTATGGGATATTAACGTTCGTGACTATAACATTAGATATATGAAACATAAATCATTTCAGATATGGTTTGGTTGAATCAAATATTGTTTATACATGTACACTCTTTCCAAATAGTGTTGAAATCTTTAAAATTGGCTTATGGCACGGCTTCTTGAATAGTGTATATTTCTTTAGTTAGGACCTTGAAAATATGTTGTTTCTTTGCTTTAAAATACCTTTAAAAATTGTTGGGCCGAATTTAGACTTTTACTCGGCACTTATGGCCATTGATCATTAAGATTCAGTAAGGGATCTTTTTCGTGTCAACATCTACATGTATACTGCGACACTGGACCTGCGTTTTTTACGGTCTCATTCGACTGACCAGTCTCCACGTCCCACGTCGGTATCCGTGACTTAGAATAAGCTCCTGAATTACATCGTGACTCCAAAATGAAACACTAAAATCACTGCGCCATGCGAGGCCCTTAACATTTTGTCTGTGTAAGCACTCAAAGATGATAATAGGTTTAAAAAATATACTCGGATGTCCGATGGTTGTGCATTTGCGTGTCTTTTCTTTTTGTAAATATTCGATTTCAATAAATTTACGCTGGCCTGAGATATTTTACAAGTGTAAATGAATAATATTTGTGAATTAATTTACCATACATGTTACTTCATTTGTATGATATTCGGTTTAAAAATCGGTTTCTTTTGACCTTTCTTATTTATAGATATTATTCAATTTTCAGAAGGTATTTTCAAAACTGCTATCAGTAAAAAAAAATAATTTACCTACCTACCTACCCAACTTCAGATTTTAGGATCGGGTTAGGGGAAACAAAGATATTTTTAATGATGGCCTAAGTTGATTGTTTTATCATCTTCATAAATCTGGCACTTTCTATCCCTTTACAAAAAAAAAAAGGATATTTCTATTGTACACTTTATTTCATTGAAGTTCTTATTGAATGACAAATTATACATCACATCCTATTAAACAGATGAAGTACTGTGAAAAGGTATGATACATTTTCAAAAATAGCTACAAATTGTTTTTAATACTTTGTAAATTATGAAAAATTTCATAATATTTAATTATAAGGCAAAATAGGAGAGAGAGAGAGAGAGAACAGTAAATATATAACATAAACAGAAAAAAATTGCATGTTACACAGAATCGTCAAAGTGCCTTATGACCAAGATGTACACAATAAAGCATAGCATTTAATCTTTTTCTGGTATATCTTTCATTATAACGTAAATACACAGGAAAAATGTCAACATGTGTTAAACATATGTTAAACATGTGTTCAACATATGTTTTTTACACATGTAAAACACATAAAAAGAGCACACATGTATAGGGTGTTTATTTTTACACATGTTCAACATATGTTTAACATGTGTTAAACATGTGTGAAAATAAACACTTGGTATATTTATACATATAAAACATGTGTTGAACATGTGTAATATACACGTTTTACTTTATATGTGAATTACACATGTATAATATTACTGTTGTGCTTATTATCTTTTTTACTTTTTTCTTGTCTTTAAATACAGTTAATTTAATCATGCATGGTGATTGAATAATTTGTCTGCAGTAACTGTTAGCTGAATTAGAAGGTCTACATCTTCGTTGGTTCCTTGTTGAACAGAATACAATGACACAGCAGTGTATTACAGGGTCAGCTCTGCCCATGCAGTCCATCTTTAATTATTTTCCTTGAATGGATTATATTACAATAATAAAATACATATATTGGTTTCAAGTTCTTTATTTCATGTACCAAATTATAATTTCATTTCTCTCTATCCTGCTCCTACCATTTAAAAAAGTGAATTACTTAATAATTTAGAAAAATAGAACTTTTGAGTCTTTTTTAAATCTTTGTTTAAACTTATTGCATTTAAAATGTCATGATCAAGTTCTTAATCAAGGTGACTTACCTCTCGATATCGCCTAATTCTTCTCTCCTCCTTCTCTTGGAGGAGTTCCCATATGTTGGATCTTTCATCTCTTCCGATTGCATCATAGAAATCTGAAAAAAAGAAATGAAAATGTTCATGAGGATGCATCAGGTGTTCAACCGTTCCAGGCCTTATCCATGTTATCATCAATTTAATTAAATATTATATGAACTTTCATGATGATTTGCCAGTTGCAAACACTAATGTTTCACCAGCAAAGGTAAAAAATGTGTGTTGCAAGTTAACGCAGTTTGCAACTATTAAATCACCATGAACGGTAACAATAAGTAGCAAAATGGAATACTTAGGAATTCCCTAAATTTAGTGAAATTTTGTGATCTTGAGTGTTTAACAAGAGGCTCAGAAGCATGCATTGATTTACACACTACTGGGTGTTTTATCCTGCTCGCTCGGGCCTGGGGGTGGGGTGTATGGGTCTTCTTGGAAAAACAAGACGAAATTTTATGAACACTGGAGCATATAATTATATAACATTATTGAAAGTCAAATATAAGTATATATATACTTTGACAAGTGTTTTCGTTTTCTTTTCATAATGTAAAAGGAGAATCATTCAAAGAAAGAAAAAGTAGTACTGGTATTCTATTTTTCATTGGAATATGTTCATTTGAAATTTGCATTAATATCTTAATTATTTAGAAATTACAAACAAAAAAAGAAAAGAAAGAAATCAATTGCTTAATATACCTGGAATATTCAACATATTTTAAACATGGATATAACTTAACATGTGTATTACATGTGTACATGAATACACATATATTTCATATAAATCAAACATGTATAATTCATCTGTATTTTTGCACACATGTATAACATATATAAAATATATGTTATACATAAGTGGTGAAGAACATGTGTTCAACATATATATTTTCTCACAGGTGTATTACACATGTATATTATATATGTTTTACATATAAATGAAACACATATTTTACATGTGTATATTTACACACGTGTATTACATGTATAAAACATGTGTTGAACACATGTGAAACCAAACATATGTTTAACACATGTGGACATTTTTCCTGTGTATGCATATAAACACATCAATGATAATGTAACAGGTGTGACGTTAGGAAGCTTTTTTTGTTGCATTTGTTGTAAACAGAAATAAAACATTATAATGGAGTTAAATGAAACAAAAAATGTTATTTGGTACAATTATATTTTTTTCACATATTACGTAATTCATAATTCAAAATTTACGTGTATTATACACGTACCTGTTTTCAATTAAGTGATGAATTTCAAACATTTACAAAATATATTAAGTATCCATTTCCCTGCCTTAGAAATCAAACAAAATTATCACATTTTTCATTAGAGAAATTTCGTATAAACAATCTTTTCAAAAATAGTTAAAAATAACAGCTAAAGAAATAACAACTAAAGAAAATATTATATTAGTAAAAAAAATAGTTTAACATAATGCATTTTATCTTTCATTCAAAGTAAACAATTACGGCCTATAAAGGAAAATAATACTATAAAATAAGAATGATTTCAGAAAAGTAAAATTTTGAAAGTCATAGAAAGATTATAATTTCTCAATATTTCAGAAATTTTAGTATTTACATCCGAACCAGGTAAAAAGATATTTATAAATCATTTATTTTTTTTTATTTATAATTTTTTGATTTATATCATATTATTGAGTAATAATTTATTAGATATGGAAAAGATGAAGATAACAATGACCGATCTAAAAAAAAAATAATAATAAAGCAAAACAAATCTGTGAAGAAGGCATAAACAGAGACATCTGGAAATTCTAGGTGGGATCAGGCGTCTAAGAGGGCTAAGCATTTCCTATTGACCGGGCACAACCGGCGTGAACCCGGTGTATTGATTAGATAGGAGGAAAATTCCGACTGCAGATTCAAAACAAAAAAAAACAAAAAAAAAACAAAAAAAAACAAAAAAAACAAAAAAAAAAAAAAAAAAAACGGCGACATAATCAAATATGTTTTTGAGGAAATGATTAATTTTGATTTCCATTTCAAGCAATTTTAATTAATGTAGAAATCAGCATTTCAAAGTTTAAAAATAATTTCAAAAGAAATATAGAGCCCTCTAAAAAGGTCTATTATAATGTTGAATTTAAATTCCCACTGCAAAATTTCTTATATTCACAAAAAAGTCATCCTTGAACTATCCTTGAATTTATTTTTAATTAGAGGATATTATATGTTCTTCAATACCATCTGACTGTGTGTTATCTTGGAAAATATTTCTGACATGGTTCTCTTCCCACCACATTTTCAGAAAATCTAATCCTGTGTGAAAACGGAAAAAAATTGTCAATGGTAATATAATTCTTGTCATCACGTCCCAAATTTCCAAATCAAAGTAACGGTATGGAATTAAACTTAGAACGGGTGCTCTAACTTCCCCAACGCTGTCGCTGACCCATAGACCTAGATTCATCATTCCAAGAAAGAAAAAGAACTGTGGTGACTTGTTATAGATTGTCTCCTCACAACAACAAGAGTTCTTTATGAATTTTATTTTTTCGTGGGCTCCTAAAATAAATAATGTCTGCCCCCAAGCTATAATGATGCTTATTATGTTATCAATCCTGAAAAAATAAAATACCTTTGTGACACAGAATCAGTTATGTCGTGTCCACATTTCACCAGCGCAAAAATGTAAAACATATGGTAGACAACATTACCAAAACAGCTTACAATCAATACAAAGGCCCATACAATAAATTTATATTTGAAACTCTTCCAAAATGATACAATTAGAGGTAAAATCAAACACATCATTATAAATTTTAAACATGATTGGAAAACGGTGTAATTACCGTACTCAATTGGCAATTTTGATTTTATTGTTCAGATCTTCATTTGAAACTAGACTTCTATGCAATACAACAAACATTGAAAATTTTATGAAACCTAGACAGCAGGCACAACAGATTAGCTAAAGAAGAACAGCAAGGACAGAACGTTTGTGTCTCGACTCCTGGTTTACCGTAGATGTATCAGACATAGAACGTTCTTCCTTTGCTTCTGTAAGTCTCTTTGCGGTAGCCGATGCAGGTATTTGGCAAAAAGTCAATTGCTAATGATGCGAATTCAGCCACTGCTGGGTCCACAAATGTTTCAGAATCTTCAATAACAGAGACAATTGAGGCATTGTAAGTACAGTTTTGGTGATGCTTGCTTTCATTTATATAGGTGTTGTTATCAATGTCGTCGACGGGATAGTGATATAAATCACCAGATTCGGAAAACAGTGTATCAAGCCATATGCAAACATTGGCTAGCAACACTCCTACAGACCAGAAATTTTGACCAAACATGTTATTTTCTATGATGACAATATAATTATAAAGAAAATGAACAGCCTAATGTGTAAATAATAGCACACAAGTTATATATCATTCCTAATGTTGCATCCGGGCAATGATTGGATGTAAGGTGTTTCAAAAAATATAAAACACAATGACCAATAAAAAATATCCAAAAACAAGCAAAAACATTAGCTTTATAATTAAAAAAGTAATCTGACCTTCATGTCTTATATCCATTTGGTCCTCCTTGCACTGTTTATACAAAAATATACCGATACTGAGCCTACTACATTGAAAAATAAAAGCACTACTAAGCACTACTAAGACAATAATTCTTGATGATTGTTCGACGTAAACAATCTTCATCCAGGTTACCATCATGATGGAAAATACAATGGCCAAGTCGATCACTCCAAGGGAAACATATACAATTCCACCTAAAAATGAATTTAAAGCATCCATGTTTGAATACTATACTGCTTTGCACGATTGATAATGAGACCAAAAGTCAAGTCAAACAGATATAAAAAAAACCTTTTGTTTAACGAGAAAGGCTACTAATAGATGATGTTGATTAAATTCTTCTCCGTGCACCATCACATCGTCACATTACAAATGATTTAATATTACTATAATTTCAACAACCTCATCTGAAGCCAGAAAATACATTCTATCGTTTCCGAATACAACCTCTCGTTGGGTCGTATGTTAACTCATTTAAATGGGGACGGGAGACGTTCACTCCTTCAAGGTAGCTGATCTTACATCTGGGGCTTTTAGGAGTCTGTGTTATTATCATTGTTTCAATATGTACTTTTGTATTACAGATTTTATGAGATGGAATATTGTTCGTTATCTTCACTTTTTAAATAATATGATGCATACTAAAATACAAAGTCATAAAATAATGTCATATTGATTACGTTCATTCGTATTAAATAAGAAAGGGACGATGCTCGTTCTCGAAATATATATAAACAATACAAATGTATGAAAAGGGTATAAACACGGCCCCCCGGAAATTCCAGAGGTGGGGTTAGGTGCCTAGGAGACGTAAGTTCCGCGTTGACCGGTTACACCGACCGCGAATCCTATGCATTCATTAAGTAGACGAAAAAATCAGTATACAACAAAGGCATTATACTTAATAGGAAACAAGTCAGACAAAATATGACCCAATGATAGGTTATATTTGCTTTCAGGGCAATTATATCGATCATAGAATTTACAAAATACTGAATTCAAACGAGGTTTAGAGAAGGTTGTTAAAATCTCATCAACATCAACTCATCTGTCAGAAGCCTACAGCGGCTTTAAAATTGATCGTATTCTTAGCATGCTCTTGAGTATTTACGGAAGCCGGTTGGTGCCAGGTAGAAAAAATATTCTATCTGGCGGCCGCCAGATAAGTTTCGGGCGGCCGCCAAATAATTATTGGGCGACCGACAAATAAATATTTGGCGGCCGCCAGAAACTTATCTGGCGGCTGCCAGACAAAAGGATCTGGCGGCCGCCAGAAAGTTATCTGGTGGCCGCCAGATAAATAGATCTGGTGGCCGCCAGAAGGTTAACTGGTGGCCGCCAGAAATTATCTGGCGGCCGCCAAATAATTTTCTGGCGACCGCCAGATCTTTTTATCTGGCGGCCGTCAGATAAGTTTCTGGCGGCCGCCAGTTATTTATATGGCGGCCGCCAGATGA